TAGATAGATAGATAGATAGATAGATAGATAGATAGATAGATAGATAGATAGATAGATAGATAGATAGATAGATAATGGATGGATGGATAGATGTTAGATAGATAGACAGACAGACAGACAGACAGACAGACAAGACAGATGGGAGGGAGGGAGAGAGAGAGAAGACAGATTAGATATAGACAGACAGATGATAAGTAGACAGAGATTAGAGACAGATATATTAGAGAGAGAGTAGACAGATTGGGTGGATAGATATAGATCGCTAGATCGCTAGATAGATGATGGATGGATGGATGGATAGATAGATGACAGATAGATAATAGATAGACAGACAGACAAGACAGATGGGAGGGAGGGAGAGAAGATAGATTAGATATAGACAGACAGATGATAAGTAGAGACAGATATATTAGAGAGAGAGTAGATAGATTGGGTGTATATAGATCGCTAGATCGCTAGATAGATGACAGACAGACAGAAAGATAGATGATAGATACACTAGACAGATTAGAGACAGATATTAGAGAGAGAGAATGTAGACAGATTAAATGGATTGATAGAGATAAATACGATAGAATGAGATAGAGAGGTATATATAGAGAGATAGATGGAGAGAGAAAGGGACAGATAAAGAGAGGTAGATGGAGGGAGAGAGAAAGACAGAGGCAGAGATAAGTATAGAGGAAGGAGAGAGAGAGAGAAGGAGAGAGATATATAGTGGGATTGAGAGAGATAGAGCTTTGCACACACACATGCCTGATGCACACTGCGTGCGCAGTTTTAAGAAAACTTACTTGCTAGGGTAAGTGACACAGCTGAGGTTCAGCAATTCGCTCTGCCGCGCAAATCAGCTGAGAAGATATAGATCAGTAAAGCGAAGGGGGGCACCTGATGTCGGAGCGAACCAGTTCGCTCTCAGCTAATCGTCAGAGCTACCAGTTCCCACAACCGGTCCGAACCGGTCAAATCCCACCCCTACATATAAGATACTCAGCAACAAAGCTTGGATTTGAACAACATACTAAATCTTTTGATAATCTGCATTGGTGTGTGGCCAGGATATAGTTTTTGAAATGTTTTAATATTTGAAATATTTTTCAATATTTGAAATATTAAAAACCCCAAACATCACTGCATATCAGTTTAAAATATATGCCTATTTTTAGGGCTCCAGTTCTGGTTTATTGTCCTGTTGCAGGTAAGGATTATATAGTGGCTCTTACAGGAATTGCTCTTCTGACAACTGGCCGGTATTTTCGGTATCGGCAATAGTCAGTTCTTTTAACAAGTTGTTAAGTTCCAGGAGGTGATTGTGATATACTCCTTCATCCATCTGTGAAAGAGATAGCAGGAGCATTCAGATGAAGCACGATCCCGTCCCCCCCCCACTCCCCAGTATGGATCATCAATCCCATCTTCCTTAGCCAGCATGGGTTACCCTCTGGAGCAGGGATCTCTAACCTTGGCAACTTTAAGCCTGGCTGACTTCAATTCCCAGAATTCTCCTTTGCTTTGCTGGCTGTGGAATTCTGGGAGTTCAAGTCCGCCAGGCTTAAAGTTGCCAAGGGTTGTAAACCCCTGCTCTGAAGAATACCCAAGCAGCGATATGGTCATTCAAACATCTTGCAATGAACCTTTGTATATTGATAAACTGGACATTGGAAGACCCATCAAGAACTAAAGTTCAGGAGGTCAAGCTAGTTTTCTCTAGCAATGGCAGAGTTAGGCCATTCATTCATTGAAACCACAGGTATGGGTCAGATGCGCTGTTTATTTTAATATGGCACCTTGCAGTGGTATTTTTCTTTCCAGCAAAGCCTCTCGGGTCAAGTAGACCTCACAGAGATCCTTATAAAATAAAAAAATAATACGTTGGTACAATTATGATTTGGTTTACTCGGAAATTGGTGTATCCCAGCATGGGGAAAAAAGAGACAACTAAAGACTAACCACATTTGGGGTCGGGAGGAGTAGAAAGTGCAGCAGGAGGTAAATTAGTTTGCCTTCTGGTTCACAGCTGTTTTGTGATGATAGCTATTGTGAACAGCCAAAGCTTTCCTGCAGAAATTACACTATCGGGGTGACTATAACATACTTTGCCCCACTCCTACCCTGATTGGACCTGGGTACTTGAGAGACCGCCTGCTGCCAATTACCTCCAATAGACCGATTAGATCCCACAGATTAGGCCGCCCCCGAATTCCATCCGCCGGCCAATGCCGAC